ACAACTAAAACTTAATTATCTTGTCCGAAAGAGAGTGATGATGACAGGAAAAACACGAGAACATCAGCATCATGAATCGTGACGTTCGCTAAGTACCATATGTGGAAGCTTAAGATCTCATTAACCATCATTACGTATTATATGCCACTATCCATTCCACAGTGATCCCCATGTACTAGTTATTTTAATAAGGTTTAGCAGCATGTAATCAAGTTGAAAAGAGAGAGGGGAGGTGCAAATTACAGTGGCAAGTGAAACATGCCACTATTCATTCCACAGTTAACTCTCCTACAACGAATAACGATGTATCATAACTTATTATCGAATTTATTTTATATAAAATGTTTTCGCATTTATGTATGCCAGAACCAACACCTCCTCTAATTAAACAGAGACTGAATACTGCTAGACCAACTGATCATGTGAAAATTATCCCGGAAATAGATGACTTTAGTAAGAAGGCAAAGACTAATAATAAGAAGGGTTTGAGGGTTGTCATTTAAATTAATTAATCCCATCAATTATAGAAAGCTTTGTCTGGTTGAAATGCTCCCTTTGTACCCCATCTGTGAATAATTACATGATTGCTTTTGCTTTATAGTGGGAAATTATAGTCAACTTTCTTGCCTCATTTACATGATTACTTATAATTTTGGGGGAATGCCTCTGCCCCTAATTGAACTGTTTGAGATACTAATGGGAATATCTCAAAAATTGCCTTCTCAACCAGTGTGCTTATAGAACTGGTGTCAGAATGAGGATTCTCTTCGGATTCTCTTTGTGAAGATCTTAGAGATCTTCAAATCGCGTCTGTTTATCATACATCGTGCAATCAGTTTTTATCAGGTATTATTCATATTTAATTTTAAATAAAAGTATTAAAATGATTTTTTACTACACGATGTACGATGAACGAACACGATTTGAGAATCCCAAAGATCCTCATAAAGAGGATCCGGAGAAGATTCTCATTTGTGGTGTCAAATTCTCATTGGGGCTTCCTTAATAGATTTTGATTAGAGGTGTCTAATAAAAAATGATGACCCCAAGCCAACAAGGTTTTCTGCTTTACAAGGGTTTGGGGGGGAAACGTCTACCGTACGCAGCCTTACTTTTACTTTGTAAAGATGTTCTTCTTCCAACTCAAACCTCTGACCTTTTGATCACAAAACAAAAACAACATTTTCAGTGCGCCAAGAATAGGGATGGGCAAAATACACATGGGCTTGGGTAACCGCGGTTAGCTGCCCATTTAAAGTTTACGGTTACGGTTATGGGTATAACCGTTTATCCGTGAAATTTAAATGGGCGGTTATGGGTATTACCCGCAATTATAACGGATATCCATTTACCCATTTAATTTAGTATATATAAAATTTTAAAAAAAAATTAAAACCCTAAATTTTCAATCTCTTTGCCAGATTCAGAGTCTCAAACGCCCCGTCCCCCGCTCATCTCTCTCTCCTCGCTGCCCTCTCTCATATCCGATGCTCATCTATCTCTCCTCGCCACCCTCTCTCATCTTCGCCGCCCTTTCTCTCATCTACGCTGCTCATCTCTCTCTCCTCGCCCCTCAAGGTGGATTTTACCCTTCCGATTTCATACCTATCTGATTAATTATTGATTTATTTGTTTATGAATGGTTATAAGATAGTTTCCTTGGTTTTTGCCTCTATGCAAATGAATCCATTAGAGAGGTGTGTGTGTGTGTGTGATCTTATTGCTAAAATGTATCTATAACGATGTTTAATTATCAGAAAACGAAAATTATGACAAATTTTTATTTTGTAATTTTCAAGTTGTTAAAAAAAACATGTAGACTGGTGAAAAAGGGGTAAATGGGTAAAAATAAAAGGATAAACGGGTAATGGTTGTGGTTAAATGGGTAAACGGTTATTGTTAAATGGGTATACGGTTATGTGTATGGCTAACCATTTATAAACGGTCATGGATATGTATATAACCATTTATGCAATTACCCAATAGGTAAACAGTTATGCGGGTATGAACATAAACACTTATGGATAAATAATCGCGGTTACCCGCCCACCATAATCGTTATCCATCCCTAACCAAGACTCTCTTTCAGAGGTGTCTAATCAAATTTATAAGAAAGAACTAGGAGGTGCATGGCAGACAGTTCAATCTCTAATCCATCCCAGTATACTTAGGGCCGAATTTTAAATCCATCCCTTCCTCAAATCTCAATTGCGACCACCACACGTATTTGAACTTCTAGCCGTTAATGTATGCAAATTTTATTGTGAAATGGACACGTTCGTATATCAGATACTGATACAAGCAAAGACCCAGGAGGATCCTTCCCGGATTCTTTGTAAGGATCTTGGGAATCCTTCAATCACATCCGTTCATCGTATATCGTGTGATTAGAAATCATTGTAAATTTTTTATTTAAAATTGAATATAAATAGTACCTGACAAAAATTGATCGCACTATATACAATGAATGAATGTTATTGAAATATTTATAGGATCCTCACAAAGAGAATCCGGTGAGAATCCTCACAAAGAGGATCCGGCAAGGATCTCTCTCAGCACACACTACTTAGAACTTGACACCTGATTAGAGTTTGTACATCACATCATGCTTTTCTGGGTGGTTTAAACTTAGAATTTTGAACAGCAGCAGCATTTTTGTAAATGCAACTTTGCTAGAAACTTCGTATAGGTGGAAACCATTGTAAAGTAGATCAATGAGAAACTTTTTAATGCAACTATCGAACTGTCACGTGGTGTTACTCATTCACTCATATTATACATAATTTATAAAAAAAGATTAGTTATGTCAGTCATTCAAATCATAACACTTAGATGTAGATCAATAAAATTCATGAAGCGTGACCGTCATACCTAAATCTTCCTAGTTTGAGCCTAGAGATTGAATCTAGTTATCCAACATACACATTCAGTCAAGATTCAATAGGTTACAAGATGACATTTTCAAACTGGCGATCCTATAATTAATTGATTGTTTGAACATTGAAACATTACAACCTAACGGTATTAAGTAACACACAACAATTTTTATCATATGCATTACAGATAAGATCTCAGTTATTGGTAATATAAATCACTGTTCGAAAAAGCGGCCGAAGCAAAAAGCAGGCATTCTGATTAGGGCCTAGGCATTTAGAAAAACAATGAAGCCCTAGGCGGCAATTAGGCTGCCGCTTAAGTGATATGGACAGGCGGTTCTATTTTTTTATTTTTTTTTAGTTAAGAGTTTGAAGATAATTTTCATGTAAAAGAACTCTAAACTTTCTTTCTTGTAAAATAACTCTGAATGCACATTTCATTTTATGTATTCAATCGATTGTAGTGCTTAATAATTTAATTATCCTTCCATTTTGCATTTATGAGTCCAAATACATGTAAACATATAATTTTTTTTAAAATATAACTACTTATACAGTCACTTATTTATATGTTTTTATTGCTATATAATAAAGTAAATCAAAATTTAAAAAATTGCCTATGCCTCTATTTAGGCTGCTACCCGATTAGCGTCTAGCGCTTTTTTTTGTTTTTGAACAAACGTTATTATCTACACTAACAGAAATGAGTGGACTTAGCCTCACAATGAGCTAACAATAATATGGTTCAAATTCGTATTTGACGATAATTGACTAGCGTATAGCACTTTTTAGAACCTTAATATAAATACCCGTTCTTTTAGTGACTAGAATGCCTGGGTCTGCAATTTTGTTTTCTTGGCTGGTTAGGCTTTGCGAGTACTTGGTAATACTGGATATAAAGCTTCTCAAACCCAGAAGACAAGATGAAAACAAAAAGGCCCAAACTCAACTGTAACCATCATGGGCTTTTATTCAACAAGGCCCATAGTTTTTTGAAAAGGATAAAACGACTCATCTATATGAAGCTTAGCCATATGATTTGATGCCCTCAAGTGGCTTTTGGGCTTTTTCTTTTTGCGTTTGGTCAATTTGGTGGGCTCATATTGTCAGTCACATCACATGGTACACTTTCCTTTTCTTTAGGGTTAATGAAACTTTACCAACAAGTAATGATAAAATGTTCTGCTAATTTCCACCACATCCATCCACATAGTAATAACACATTTCTAAAGATGTGTTCGGAACTTCGGGTGAGGGAATTCGAGATGGGATTTGGGGTTTACATGGGACTTAGATGTGTCATAGAGTCGAAGTAACACTTGGCAATTTGGACTCTAAACTAGTGTATAAATCTGGAATCTTGACACTTGATTCTCAACCTAGAAACTCAACGTCCAGGAGCGAACCAAGAGACCCTAATCTTCGGACCATTCATATGTGACCAAGGGTACAAATTTCATGACTTTGCAATCACTTTCGTTCAAAATCCTAAGACTTTTCAATCCTTGTCTCTCTAAATAATTTTTCCTTCAGGTATGTACTACTAAGTGGTCCAAAAATCAACAGTTAAATCTTGCATATAAAAATCTCATGATTTTTACAACGGTTAGATTTTGTATAAAACATGTAGAACTTAATACAGAGCCGAACATCTCTCTTAAGTCCTTTTCCATGATTAAAAAAATGTTTAAACATAAATTACGTCTTAATTACTAAAATATTAATAAAAACATATAATATTTTTCACAGAAAATATAATATCATCAAGTAGTTCTCCATACATATATATAAACAAGTACACCAAGTGCATACCAGATTCTTGGGATTTTTTAATTTGTGCTGTGCATGGTCGGCATGACCCCAACGACATTAACTCAATAATTTTTTAGAAGATTAACTCAATAATTTTTAGACCGTTAAATATCAAAAGGCTTTGATGACTTTCACATCTCATTACCTTTATCACACGCAAAGAATTTACAGTTGGTTTAAAATATTATTTTGAAGTCGAGACTTTCAATTTGATTTACTTTCTTCAATATCATGATATAAAAGAAGAATAAAAACCTATAGTTGTTGTCACACTCACCATTTATCTAACAATATTTGTGTGGATAAACAAAAAATTACCAAAGTGGTTTTCGAGCCTAATCATTGCTGCTGGAGACCATGTGGTGTGGCCTGCCATTTGACAACCTGTTTTTCATCAGTTTGTGGTAGCTGTTCATCATCTTCTTCTGCTTCCCTAAAGTGTGTTTCTGCTTTCCTTTTGGGGTTCTTTCCAACCCCTTCTTCCTTTTCTTCTTTTTCTTCTGCTTCTGCTTTTTTTACTTGAACTTAACCAAATCTTCGCTTACTACTGCTAAGAACAAGTGTTAGCTTTTGCTGCTGAATCTGATCACTCTCATGGCTGCTGAAACTGTTGCCTCACTTCAAATTCCTACCACTGATGAGGTTAGTTTCTTCAGTTTTTTTACTGTGATAATTAAGTGATTAGCTTTAGTTTATTCGGATGGTCCAAAGTTTACGTGTTGTTTTAACTTGTGATATTATGCTTAAATTAATTGTAATTCTTTTTTCTGTTTAATTAATCAAAAACTTAATTATCAGATAAGATAGTAAGAATATATAGGGTATCAGATGTACTGTATGTAACTTTCGATATAGGGTTTTGAAAATATATCCGTATCATGAATAATCTGATGATGTAGATGAAGGGTGGTATGTGTGTACGATCTTCAACAAGTGATACACACACACACACAGATATATATGTGTGTGTGTGTGTGTGTGTGTGTATATATATATTACATATTGGTTGTTTTGAAGTTGTGCACATATCTGGTGTTTTCTGATTTGAATTGGACATCAAGAGATCTAAGATATTTTAAAAGAGATTGAAAGCAAGTTTATTTCACTGTGCATTTATTTTCCCTCTGATCATTCTTAACCATTGCAGCAAGTTGAGAAGAAGATCATTGAAGGAGAAAAGGCTATCGAACAAGATGGTGTTTCTTTAACCAAAGAAAATGGAGAAGAAGCGCACAAAACTGAGGATTTAGAGGGTCTAGCAACACCATCCGAGCCTCCGGCAGTTGAGGCTGAGAAGGCTGCTGATGCTCCCGCGCAAGATGTTCCGCTTGTAGAAGAAACAAAATTGGAAAATGAAGCCGTTCCTGATTCAAAAACACTCGATATCCCAAAGCATGTGGTTGATGCTGTTGAGAGCCCGATAGAGGTTCAGAGTGCAATTGAGTCTGTAGAAAGAGAACTGCCCAAAGAAGTGGCCACAGATAGCATTGAAATGGGTCAGGTGGAGCAACCAAAGATTGTTGGTACTCCTGTGCCAGATGTTCCGCTCGTAGAAGAAACAAAGGCGGAAAATGAATCCATTCCTGATTCAGAAACACTCAATATTCCAAAGCAAGTGGCTGATGATGTTGAGATCCCGGCAGTGAAGTGAAGTGATGCTCCTCTATCATCAGAAGCCAGAGGAGTGTAGTTGGAGTCTTGGAGTGAAGGATCCATAGCACCAGTCCTAGAAAAGATTAAAGACTCAAAACCAGAGTTTTTTGACGTAAGGGACAAACTAGAAGAACCGAAGATAGTTGATGCTCCTCTATCATCAGTTGAAGCCATTGAGAAACCAGAGGAGCCATTGGAGGTCACTTCGGACGAAGGATCCATAGCACCAGTCCTAGAAAAGATTAAAGACTCAGAACCGGAGTTTTTTGAAGTGAAGGACAAACTAGAAGAACCTGAGCAAGTAGAGCCTGAAGAGATTGTGCAGGATGAGACAGTGAAAGATGAAGGCTCGATAGCTGTAAAAGCTGAGCCTACCAGAGTCTTGGAGGAAGGGAAAACTGAAACAAAGGACGCACCTAGTCTAGCTGTGGAGGAAAAACCAGAACAGCCCAAACTTGTGGAACAAGAAAAGAAACATGATGAAGTTGGGCTTGTGGAAAGTGTGGAGGTTAAAAAAGTGAAAGAGGAAGGATCTTCAGTTGATAAGGTTGAAAATTCAACAGTCGTGGAAGAAGAAAAAAATGATGAAGATAACAAGCCTAGTCGAATTGAAAATCTTGAGGAGGCTTCGCTTAGTCGAGAAGCTCAAATTGAAGGGGATGCTTCTCTACCTGATGTCACAGAAAAGTTAGCTACTGAGGACGAAAAGAAAGAAATAAGTGCAGTTGATGTGGTTGAGAAGCTAGCAGAAGAGCCAGCTGTGGAGACTGAAAAGGTCGGGGAAGAGAGTGTGGAAACCAAAGAGAATGAGAAGAGCAATATGATTCCTTTGGATTCAACTCAAATAATTAAAGAAGACGAAAATAAGGAATCAAGTGGGGTTGATGTGGTTGAGAAGCTAGAGGACGAGGCAGCTGTGGAACTGGAAAAGGTTGGAGAAAAGAAGGTGGAGACTGTAGCGGATGGAAAGAGAGATTTGGTAACTGAGGATTCAATTCAACCAATCATAGAGGAACAAAGGAAAGAATTAAATGGAGGTGATTTGATTGAGAAGCTAGTAGACGAGGATGTAGTGAAGTTGGAAAATTTTGGAGAAGAGAATGTGGCAAAGGATGTCAAAGCTGAAGATAATGAAGAGAGGAATGTGATAGCTGAGGATCCAGCTCTGCCAATTGAGGAGAGTAAAAAGAAAGAATTAGACAGCTCTGATGTGGTTGAGAAGCTAGCAGAGGAGGCGGTAGTGAAGGTAGAAAGTGGAGAACAAGAGATGGTGGCTAAGAATGGCGGAATTGAAGAGAACGAAAAGAGAAATGAAAAAGTTGAGGATTCAACTCAACCAATCGATGTGGTTGAGAAGGTAGCAGAAGAGGCAGTGGTGGAAACAGAAAAGCCTGCAGAAGAGAATGAAACAAAGAATGTGAAATTTGAAGACGACCAAAACAAAACTGTACTTGAAGAGGATGTCAAGAACTCTATTACTTCTCCCTCTGAATTTATAGAAAAATCATTTGAGGGAGCTGCAAAAGATGCTGAACCTGCGGTGGAAACTGAAGCAGCAGAAAAGATACAAAATGCGACTCCATCTGATGTTGAAACCAAGACAGATAAGAGTGCGGAGGAGAAGCCAGACGAAGTAAGTACAGCTGTTGAAGTTGATGAATCAGAAGTGAAAGGAGAGGAAACTGTTAAAACAGATGCTGATAGATTGGAGAAAATTAAGGACGAAGTTGCGAAACCTGACCAGAACTTAGAGCCTCCTCCCACCAAGGATGGTGATCAAGCAAAACCCCCTGAGGACCTGCCAAAGGAAGTTCCAGCTAAGTCCTCTCAGAAACAGTCGAATAACCTTCTGTCAAAGGTAAAACATTCACTGGTGAAGGCGAAGAAGGCTATCATAGGTGGGAAATCTCCAAGCTCGAAAAATCCTGCTATCGGAACAAAGGAGGATATCAAAGTTAAATAACGAGATGGATTATTAGTTTGCAATCTTGGCTTGTGTTTGATGTTAAAAGGATGTGTGCATATAGAAGATTTATAAGCTCTGCCATACTCAATAGCGTGACGTGGTGTGTATACTGTTAGTTTTATTCCCCTTCTGATGCTGGTGATTTCGTTTGTAATTAGTAATTACTGTTTGTGTTTTGGGGGCTTGATTGTTGCCAGTTTTCGTCGGAAAAGACGTTATTTTAGTGTGAATATGAAATGCAGATTTATGTTGAAGTTGCAATCATCAGTTTTTTCATCAGACCGCTTAATTTTTCCGATCGTTGTGCATTTCGGTTGAAAGGAAAGTAGGCATTGCATACCAGAGATCAAGTTTTATGAAGAATTGCTTGAGAGCTGAAAACAGCAAAACCGCAGGTTTGCATATAACCACTGGGAACAAGAAAACTGAACATGGAAACTTGAAACCCGAGATTTTCGACAAACATTCTTCATGTTATCTTTCGAAGTACTTACATTTCTCATTACTAAGGAAATTCAGGACATAAAAGAAACCGATCGTATCATATTTCATCAAAATGGCTTCAGAGCAATGTTTTAAAAGGCTCGTCTCAAGGCGCGCCTAGGCGTCCTCTGAGGCTGGGCGTGAGGGTTGCCGTCTCTGTTTTGAGGGAGTGGGCGGAAGGTGTCGTAGCGGCCGCCTAAGGGCACCTCAGGGTTTTTTTTATTTATTTTTTATTTTAATACTCCCAAACCAAATTTTTGGTAGGTTTTGACTACCTCATACCTCTTCCTTGCGCTATCGTCTCTCTGCTTTTTTTTTTTTCTGATTTTTATTTTTTTTATATGTTTGCTTGCATTATTATATGTGTGCTCATTGTGCTTTTCATCTTCTATTTTATATATATATTTATAACAGATGATTGTTAATTAATAATATTTTTTTAATATAATATATGTATACACTTAGAGTATATATTAAAAAATTTAAGTCCTGTGAGACTTCGCCTCACGCCTAGACCGGGCTATCCCTCGGACGCCTCACGCTTTTAATAGATTGCTTCAGAGAAAGATAGAGAGTACAACAGATGTATTCAGACATTACTATCATTTCATGAATTCAAAGAATTGTTATAATATGTCCAAAACACACATTTAATACATATGCCCGGTATCTTCTCAACTCGTTTGCATCGCGTTACCTCACCGGCAACAAAGTGAATGTACAAATGGTAGAAGGGACTTCAAAGTCTTCTCAAGGTACCTAATCCTGTGCAACATGTAATTGCACTCTCCTGAAATTAGAATTCAGATGGTTATTACCAAGGTTCAATCAAACTCTTCGACTCGGTCATACTTTTTTGTGTACTTGTAAAATGCATCTACCCAGATCAGAAGCAAGCAAAAAAGGTCCAATCTCAGGATGCTGCAACATGGATTTCTCTCCTCCAACGACAGATACAACTGCTTGTTAACCGAAACCTGAATATACAAGTGGAGATGAAGTTCAAATTTCTTTCAAAATTGAAATATTACTTTGTTGTGTATGTGGATGTATAAATTTGTGGAGAATGCCTTTATACACTCACTAGCTGCTCGGCTAAACACAACGTCGTTTCTGTTATCCGTTAGCTCTGCTGTTGTTAACATCCGTCACTTGAACATTATTTCGCACCAATGCAGACTGTCCAAATCCCTCATTAGTTGCTTGGCCCTGGTGACACCAAAGAACAACAACACTTGATTTAGGCACAAAGATAACGCAACAATCCAAGGTTCTAAAGAATTATCATATCATCTTGCAATATCATAATTGTTTAGCTGTTGGAGATGCACACACTTGCACAAAATCCTGGGGTTTTTCCCCCATTGTTAATCGATTTGGGTTGGATGCCCAAACGTAAACACTAACAAAGAACCCCAGGATATAAAGCATCAATTAAACAACAAAACTCCACAACTAATATTCATATGTTCTTTCAACAAGAATCAACTTCAAAGTACATACACGAACCTGACTAGATGTTTGATTCATAGAGCTATTGGCATTGCTGTTTTGCATCGCTTGTGAGTTCATGTTCTGAACCGAATCCTTTGAACCAGAAACTGGAGCTGATTCCACATTTTCCACAGGTCCTCCTGAACTGCCTGCATTTAGTCCTGCAGATGACTTCACAAAGGGACCTGCCGATGAGGGAGCTAAGGGGGCACGTTGCATCGGCACTGGAACTCCTTGACTAGGAAGCCCAAACATCTGAAGGTTAGATCCCATCATCCCATTGAAGGCGGTGTGCCCTGCCATATGTGAACCGGGGAAATGTGCTCCTTGCATGGGGGGCACCTGAAGCATAGGGTAACTAGAAGATGCACCATTCATGTCGGGCATACCCATCCCAAAACCCATGCCTAATCCCATTCCCATTCCCATTCCAACACCCATGGGCGAGAAATGAGCCATACAGGGTCCATGCATGTGTTGCATTCCTGGTGGTAACATCATTGGTGGCATATACATACCAGCCCCCATTGACATCATCTGCATAGGTATTGAAATAATATTGTGTTATACTAGAACATTCAGTTTGTTGGACACTACATCGAAAGTTGACTGAGTTAAGGAGTGATAAAGATTATGTTTACCTGTACTTGGAGTTGAAGCGTCTTCAAATACTCAATAGCCTCATCGAGCATTGAAGCTTTGTCCACCTTATATGTCATAACGAAAATGTCAGGATAGCCAAATTACAGAACATATCAACCAATAGTAGGTGACGTTTAAACTTCCATAATTATCAGATATATCTATTATAATAAGCAACCAAGTTTCAAACAAAAGTTAAGTTCGAAATATTGTGGAGACGCATTTCAGATTTAATCAATAGACTTCCCTAGACATGAATACTGTTTAAATTGCTTTCACTCCAGAAGTTTTTAAATTAGATCTTTGATTTAACACTAAATTGTAAAACTTCTGAAGTCCACCAAACATCACAAGCAACTGTCCAGAAAGACGAAAAAAGTTAACATTTAAAAGAATAAAACCAACCTTATTGCAATTGGGTATGAGTTCCTGTAGCGCACGCATCTTCTCATTGATTCTGTCCCTTCGCCTCTGTTCAGAGAAATCCAGAATGAGCACAGTTTAATGATCTTAAGAGTTTACAAACAGCATATTGCAAAGGAACTAACACATTCCCTGTTATAAATAGTATCAATGATTGGTTTTGCTCACCCTTTCCGATAAATTATGCACTTCTGCTGCTCTGCTTCTCTTGGAACCCATGCCTCGAGCATGATCTCCTTTCTTCACACCCATGTATTCTTCCTCTACATCCTGCACAGGAGGAGGTGTCCTTAATTTATGCAGGAAAGGGAACTCCAAGAAATATTGAATACCAAGGTTTCAACTTACATCACTATGGCATTCAGACTCATCAGTCTCACGAAATTTTCTCTTCAAAGCTTGTGTTGGGTCATCTGAACCTCTCTCCACACTATTGCCTGAGCAAACAGAAGAAGCAACAACTGGCTCCACAGTTTTTTCACCATTCGGAGATACCCTAACTGCACTTTCACAAGGAATATGATTGGAATTTATGTCATCCTTAGAGGTTTCCTCTTGGCATGTTCCCTCAGACTGCTTAGCAGTACATGGTTCCTCAAGAGGCTTAGCTTCTGTTGGTTTCAATTCAACACTGGATCTCACTAGAATCTGTTGGCATTGTGAATTTGACTCCTTTTGTGCACTACTGCTTGAATCAATTGGCATTGACTCGGGCAGATTGTTACCAGTTGCAGCTGAAAACTTGTCCTTATTTGCAATCCTTATCATGCTTGATGAACCTGAGCCAGCCATCACACCGTTGGTCTGAACATTAGCCTTCGCAAGAGCAGCTGGTCGTGAAAAATGGGAAAAGTTCACTATGGGTGGATTATTATTACTAGGCGTTACTGGATCTGGCCTCAGTATCTTCATTACAGGAGACCCGCCTGCAGATGAAATCTGAGTTGAATTCTTGCCAACACCACGATGAGTGGCACTACTCGTATTATCACCAGCAGTATCCGAAACCCTTGATCTAAAAGATGGAAACGACGCTTGGGATCGCTGCGATGATAATGAGTACAACTGAGTAGCACCAGATCTAGGTCTGCTAGCATCAGCACCACCATTCAAAGGAACCTTTCCCACATTCCTTTGTTGCAAACAAGCACCTTCATGTGCAGAATTGGAATTGGAATCCCTAAACACCTGACTAGAACTACTCCTCTTATCGATCGAGGCAAGATTGTGATTGGTGGAAGCCTCATTTGCAGTTGCACTAGAAAATTCAGGCAAAAAATCATGGCAGTACTCATGATGTAAAGGCTCATCAATGGAATAATTCAACCAAGGCAACATGTCATCATCCTCACTCAAACCCATCTCAGAAGATGGCACTGACAACGGAATTTCATCCAATCCAGAATCCAACACAGACCCAAATTTTCCTGTCTTCCCAATGTTGCCATTTCCTACATCTCTATCTCGATTTTTTGGGTTGTTAAAAGACGGTAAGCTATTAAAAGACGGATTCTTCCTAGTTCTACTGGACTGACCCTGCATCATAACCTGACCATTTTCCCATACCAACTCAAGAAAATCATTTCTGCATTAAAATCCCACAACAAATTCACAAAATGTTCAAATGTTAAATGGGAAAACACTCAAAACACAACACCATTCAATGGCATTAATCAAAAGGAACAAAACTGCAAAGATGTAAAATTTAGGAACAGAAACTTACTCAAAATCTTGATTTGAATCAACCCTTCCGGCCATCCGATAAAGCTCGGACAAAGGCATTGTAATGAGCTGGAAAATCGCTGTTATTCTGAAATGGCACAAAGCTTCATGAACACAAACATATTGATCTTAAAGATTTCGACAACGGATTAGTAAACGAGTCATTAGTGCTGAGTTCAAAGCACCAGAAATAAATACATATAGGTGTATATATAGAATGCCAAAGACAGGAGTGATTGAAGACGTGAACTCCCAACCAAAAACCCCACTATAAAACAATCCCAGTTCAACTTATAGTGAAAAATAAATAAATTTATATATTCCTCAGAGTTATATATTTTACAGAATAAAATCTTACTTTAAATACTGAAGTCTCAATCAGCAAGTAAAATAAAATATGCAAACTTTATATTTAAAAAAAGTGAGCAGTCAAAGTAATTCTTTAATGGCTTCCAAAGATCCCTAAAAACCCTCTAAATTAAGCTGCTTTGGTTAAAAAAATTGCTTCTTTTCAATTTTTTTATCATTAAACGAAGATCCCAGAAAACAGTTTAAATTTCCTTAAACAAATCAGCAATCTTTGCAAAATCCTCACCTACCCAAAACCCAGATAGAAACAATCATGGACAGAGCATTCCCAAAAGGAAAGCAAGAAACGTGGTTTTGGGGAAACCAAAGTTTCTTGGATTAGTCAAATTACACCAATTCAGAAGGTAAATCAGATAAAGTCTCAAGAATTAGTAACTGAGCTCGAACAAAGAGAACCCATGATTTCACAGAGGGAGAGAGAATCCAAGTGGACGTAGAAGACGGCGAAAGGCTAGCAGATTTGCAGGGGGACCAATGCAGAGTTAGTGAGACAGAGAGAGAAAGAGGGGTAAGAGTTCCAGCTTTCAACTACCAAAGGTTAAAAGCTTGAAGCCCTTCCCCCCTTCGAATTTATTACCCTTAAAATGCACATAGTCAATCTTCTTATCATTTTTTAACAAAAAAATATAAAATAAAATCTTATTATCATGCCTTAAAAGGCTTAAACTTTTTGTTGAATCCTATTAGTAGTAAAACATAAGTAATACTTTAAATATTATGATCTCACTCTAATTAAAATTGAGATTTTTTTGTGATAAAACTCTACATCTGACAAATTATGTATCTAGTAATTACCAAGTTAGAGATAGTATCAATGTTGTTGGAAGTAATTCTACACTATTTACCTTTGAATTTTATAAAATGATTACCGCACACTCATTTTCAAATTTTCTTACACACATCAGTTCCTTTTCGTATTTTTTTTTTCTTATTAATTCAATTAAAAGTCAAAGATAAAAAGAGATGTGTAAATGCTTTTTTTTGTATTTTTAATATATCACGATGATACTACTTGAACATAGTACTTAGAACATCTCCAACAAACTTTATAAAAGTCTCTATTATAACAAAATAAACCGTTACTCTCTAAATTTATAAAGCAACTGCTCAGAAGTTAAACATCAAAAAAATAAAAAAATAAAAAAACTCCAGTTGGACCTGTAAGCGATGGAAAAAAGGAAGAGAGGGTGGTTTTTGGAAATGAATGGGATGAGTTTTTCTTTTTATAATGATTGATTATGAAATGCTCGAAGTTTGCTGAATTAGAGGCTGTTGAGATGAAATGTTAAAGAAACTAGTTAAAGCAATTTTTTAACATTGTTCACTAGCTAAACTAGCAAAAATTTAACAAAACTATTGGAAATGCTCTTAATGAAATAATGAACCATGTTTGGCTCCCTTTAGTCTACGTTATTCATCTTTATCTGTAAATTGCAGATTCACACATAAGAGGTGATTTTCACACACACCCTTATTTAAGCATGTTCGTTGTTTTCGTTAAACTTATTCAATATGATGTTTAACAAAAGAGACTTATGCATGAAGTAGTCTGTAATTTTCTTAATCAATTTACCAAACTCTAATCCTAGCATTAAATATCTTTCTTTTTTAAGTCATAGTTGATGGTGATGATAGCTGCCACCACTAAGCCATACTCTTGTTTTCAACTTGCTTTTACCAAATCTGATCATGATCTCAATAGTTGCTGCCAAAACATGGTGCTGTTTTGACTTAGATGATCAAAACCAAGTATTTAGTTTTTATAATGTCTTGTTTACATAAACATAGACACATTTACTACGAAAACGCATGAACCTAAACATTTTGTTTTATGGTCCATGACACAATGTAATTAATTAGAGGGGATGCTTAAAATTTGTCACTATAAACTATATTACTATTAATAGAATTATAGAAGGTGCGGGTGATTCGGCAAAGAAAAATTTTCTTGCAACCGTTATATAAATTATGTGTCTCGCATTTGTTGTAGCAGGTAAGCAATACATGATTATGAATGTGATACACTTGTTTAATTTTGCAGGTAAAGAAAAAAAAAATCTCGACTAGGTGAGGTAAAACAAGGTGTTAATAAAAAGATGAAACATCATGATAACTCTATGGTTAATGACTTAAGTGTTGTGTGTACTTGGTATGCATTTATTGATTTTTCGTTTTAAGGAAACATAACGTTCTAGAGATGGGAGGACAAAGAGGTAAGCTAGAGAGTCGTACATCAAACGAACTTATTGTGCCCATACTTTAGTTAAAATCAAGCTCTTTGACTCACTTTTAGTATTCCCTCACTTGAATTAGAAGTACCTTTTTGAAAGTAGATTTTAAAATGGATCAAAACGTTTTCGATAAAAATAGTTTTAAAATCAATCTTTAGTAAGAATGCAAGTGAATTTAGAAAAAAAAACTAAAGTGCTTTCAAGTTATGTGCTTCTTACAGAAAGCACTTCAAGTGCTTTTGAAATCCAAAATTTGATGTACTTATTCTCTGTATTCGAATAGAGCATATTATCCTTTGATATTTGTATACCTTATCTTATAAATTTGGATGTGGAATTGGGTTGTAGTTGTGGACTTTATGTTTGGATTTTATAATGTAAAACGACAACATCATTATCGTATATATGCGCTAATATACATCGATCATTATATTTTGTTTTTCTTTTCTTTTTGGCAAAATGAGACTAGCAAGTGATTTCGTTACTACATGTTTTCGAGGATTGTGAAACTCACATAGGCATATCAGTTTTTTCATGACAACTATCATGTGATTCATTAATACTAATAATTAAATTTTGAACGTATCATGTAGAATACGAACCTGAAATTCATTCCTAACCACTTAACAAACTCTTTGGTGTTTCATCGTTAGATTTTGTTGGCTGGTGTCCCTTTTTCAAATTTCAACTTAAATAATCACATTAGATTTGAAAGTTATGGATTAAGGCACAAATAATCCATTGACTTGCCCGAGGCTGCGATTAACGAGCTTAAAAAAGTCTTCTTCCCCTTCATTTTTGGAGAGACTTTTATTCCTTTAATTTACAACCTTTATTAATTACATAAATAAGCTGCCTTTTAGATGATTAATTAAAGTTTACTTGAATAAAATATTTTAGACTTTTTGTTTGTTTCGATCCTCTTACTATTGTGTAAGATTTGATGATATTATGAAAGAGGAGAATGCGGTTTGGGAACCACGCAAAAAGTAATTTACAGTTTACATTCATCATCGTGTGAATCACTAAAGTGAATCATTATGTTTAGGAAGAAATTTTTCAATGTACTTAAAATACAAAGTTGTAAATCATATTTTATTATATAATTGGATGAAAGTTTTTTTTCTCTTTAATTGTAAAATGACATTTAATTTTCTGCTCGTATTAAATTTCTTCCAATCATATAATAACATATGATATACCGTTTTGTGTTTCGAGCGCATTGAACAATTTGTACCGTGCAGGTTAAAAAAAAAACACAAGCCAAAACATCGATCTATGGTATAAAAAAGTTACTAGGGAAAAAGAAAAAAACAAACAGGGTTGAGATTTAGAGCGCATTATCCAAAGCAACGAGTCGAATTGCTTTTGAAAAATCACCTTGCAGTTCCATCGAGTAGATCTATCACAATCGAAAGATACAGTTTTATTGTGCTTCCCTTGATTAAGGCAAACAAAATGGCGAACCTGTAATTTATTGAAGCATGAGGATTTATACCAAGGACATGATAGCCATTTTATGCTCATGCATGGTGTTTAATAAAAGCCAGCAATTAGGGGACATCCAAATCTCAAACTTTATACTCTTTTGGATATTGGTAGGACCTGGCCAAATTGCAAAGTTAAAAACGTATAATAGAAGTTTAACAAGGTGAAGGACAATCTAGAAGTAAAGTTACTAAAATCTATAAAATTAATATGAGTCTACGATAGAAACAATTGCGTATATCGTTCACTTTATGGATTTCACAAGCAACATGAAAGTAATAATCAACTCACTTCCTCAACAAAAAAGAAAACTTAAAAATTAAAATTCTAGGCAACAACAAAAAAGAATAGTTTTCCCTCCCGAGCCATCTCTCTCTCCCCTTCTAAGAAAACCCTAGCTCGCTACCTCCGTTGTTGTCGGTCTCTAGCTATGGATGGGGGCATGTGGCAGCTTCTTCCTTTCTCTTTCTAGCCCTTCTTCCCTTCCTCTCTTTCCTCTCTCCCCTCTCTCCCCTCCCTTCCCATGTATGACTCTGCCGCCTGAACCCATTTCGCCCACCATTTCCAACCAAGGGGGCCATAGGCCAAACATAATTTATTATTGTAATTGAATTAATATGGTTACTTAAATTAAACTACCTCAATAATTTTTTGAGATGGAATGTCAATAATTTTTCGAGATGAAATCTCAATAATTTTACGTCTCAGATTTCGAGTGTCACTTGTCGATATGTGAGTAACTTTGCATATTTCTTGTTGATATGGAATCTCAATAACTTTACGTCTCGGATTTCGAGTGCCACATGTCGATATGTGAGTAACTTTGCAGATTTCTTGTCAATATGGAATCTCAATAATTTTACATCTCGGATTTCGAGTGTCATGTGTCGATATGTGAGTAACTCTCCAGATTTCTTATCGATATATAATCTCAATTTTTTTTAATAGTATTTTGAGTGCAATGTGTCGAGATGTAATTGGTTGTGGGAATTTTAGATAGGGTTTTTATTTGCGTGGCATTTCTTATCTTCAGTTTCCAATGTCCATAAATAGGGTGGATATTGGGCTATAATTCACACACCTTCAGCTTTACCTTCGCCAATATCTCTTTCAATTCAAGTTTGCAATGAATTCTAACTTTGGATCCTTTTTGGATTCCGACTTTGGGTCCTCATCCAATTTTGAATTGGAAGATAAATGGGTGCATATGAGACAAGTAGATGAAGAGTCTGATGAAGAAGATTAAGCATGGCGCAACATATCATATATGGCAACCATGGCTGGGGGTGTGAGGCAACTGAAGAACAACCTCAATGAGGTGGCTTTGTTACTGGTCACGATTACAAGCCATAAAATAGAGAGATGTCGCATGACACTCTGATGAACAACTACTTCAACCCCAACTCGGTGTACACTGAAAAAGATTTTAGATGTCGCTTCCGGATGAGGCGTCATGTCTTCAAGCGTTTACTTCATGATGTCCAACATGTCAATCCATACTTTCAACAGAAATTAGACAGAGCAGGTCGTCCTGGTTTGTCACCTCATCATAAGGTTACTATTGCACTTCGAATGCTAGCCTATGCCTCCCCAGCTGATGCGATGCATGATACATATGGTATCTCTAAGTCTACACGCCTTGATAATCTTGTTGAATTCTGTCACACAGTTGTTCAGCTTTACAAGGAGGAGTACCTCCGTGAACCAAATCAAGCAGATATGGATTGGCTTATTTGCAAAGCTGAAGATCGTGGCTTTTCGGGCATGATATGGTCACTAGGTTGCATGCATTGGCAGTGGAAGAATTGTCCCACCTGATGGCAATGAGGCTTTAGCGAAAGATCGAGAAAGCCAATTATTGTGTTAGAGGCGGTTGCCTCATTTGACACATGGATCTGACATGCTTTCTTTGGAGTCCAAGAATCCCAAAATGACATTACAATTCTTGGGCACTCACCTTTTTTCAATAACCTCAACTTGACTACTACATCAATGGGCATCAGTACAATATGGGGTATTACTTAGCAGATGACATCTACCCAAAGTGGGCGACACTTGTCCAAGTAATTGCAAACCCTATGGATGATGCCCAAAGGTGGTTTACCTTACAACAAGAGGTATAACGGAAAGATGTTGAGAGAGCTTTCGGTATTCTACAAGTATGGTGAAAGGTCATTAAGGAATCAGCAAGAGGGTGGAGTCGAGATAAATTGAACTCCATCATGATGTCGTGCATCATATTACACAACATGATTGTGGAGGGTGAGCAAGATGGCTATATTGATGGAGAGTCTGATAACGACCAAGATGATCCAAATATGTCAAGGAGAGCTCGTGCAAAAATATATGATGGGCATAATTTGCCTTTTGATCCAAGAATTTGTAACATCTCTTTAAATGAGTACATGAGGCGCCATAGGATGATACATTCGCGTGCCACAAACAAGTACCTACAATAGGATCTTGTTGTACATCTTTGGGCCAAAAGAAGCATGGAGTAAGCGTTTAAGTTTTATGTTGTTAAATGTTTTTTTTAATGTTGTTTAAGTTTGAATAACTTCCCCAAGTAGTACCATGGTGGAGATTGTGTTCTTTAATATTGTTTAATGCTTAGGTAGTTCTAGGAAAAAAAATTAGAATTTTTTTTTTAATTTTAAAAATTTGGTCCCAAAAATCCAACGACTACCTGGCGTGCTAGCTGATGTCATGCTAACGCCAGGTAGCTGTTGCATTTGAATTGTTTGGGACGGCTGGGGCTGGCTGGCTGGCTGGATTATGCTAGCTGGTTGGCCTAATTTGGTATTTTTGGCCCAATGGGTCCACGAGCCCTTTGGCCTAACCCTTGGTTGGTGACAATTTTAGTGTCATTTCAGGCTATTTTTAGCCCTATAAGCCTCTGGCCGGATCGGTTGGAGATGGCCTTAATGTGTGGAAGCCAGAATCTTGCTAGAATGGTGAAGTTGCAGGTGCCCTTTTCATAGTAATGTAGTTGTGTTTTTGCCTTGCCTTGTGAGTGTAGTGGTTCTGCTGTTGTGATTGCTAGATTGGTCTTCGCCTTTTAGTGATGAGTTGTCACGTATGTCAATGATGACTTGATGTGGTCTTGCTCGTTATTCAATGATGACCAATGTGGTTGTCAGTATAACTCTGTTGTATCTGTCGTTTATTGTGATAGATTAGTACTGGTGGCAATTCTGCACTTGACGATTGTGCATTTGTACTTGTGGTAGATTTCAAGGGTTTACTCTTATTTGTTTAATTGTGCAAATGCATTCAGTTGAATTTATTGAACATTGGAGATCCTTATATTTGTTTATAATGATTAATAAAATAACATTCTATCGTTTCTTATGAAAAAGAACTCACTTGCTCACATTTCGAAATGAAATGCATGTATACTTTATAAAAAATTGTTGAATAAGAAAGTTGCTAATATTTTATTATTCAATCAGAAATTCAATAGTGATAAGATATGGTGTAACATGCAGGGTAAAGCAAATTAATAATTTAGTGAACAATAATCAGAAGGGCCAGTTGATTGGATGTGTTTGTATGTCTTCAATGAAGAGGACGATTTGTCCTTTAATTTATGCTTCTTTTTTTCCGTAGATGACATGAAATTGTTCATCAAACATGTGCTACCAATTACATATGACTATATGAATTGAAATGTGAGAAGCCAAATGCCAAACCAAATTCACAAAATTAGGGTTTGGATTGCATGTGGAGTCGGGGACCACCACAGTGGCCTCAAGCATGGGTACGTAATGGGCTAAGGCCACGTGGACCCTTCCTGAACCAACAATTGGATTTAGCGCCACCGTGGGTGGACCCGAATTTGATGGAGCATCTTTTTCTCATCTTCTGGTTGGTACAAACCATTATTATCAGACAGAAACAGAGCTCCTGTGATAGCAAGCTAGGGTTTTTTACTTTCCAGAGACGAAAGATTTTTAGGCCCTCCAAATTGACGGATCAGCAAAGAGATTTAAGGTGCGGGATTTATATCCACAAAAAAATTTGGAGGGTGTGGGAATTCACGTGCATGTATGAACTTCACGTGACTACTGTTTCCATGTCCATGGAATTTGGCATCCAACAACACCTAGTGAGTGCGTTTGCATTGCATAAGCCGACAAGGTGCATGTCTTGCTCTCTAATTTCCTCCACGTATCCCATATACAAGAATGTATTGTTCAAGCCCTAGTGTTAGCAAAGTGACATGCATATCCAGAAATTATTTTGCATCACAGTGAACAACCTTAAAACACTGAATGGAGCTATTACTATTAATTTAAAGCAGGGATTAAACAAACTAATACCGTAATTAGACTCATGCAGACAATGATTTGTGGGAGAGAAAATGACAAATTTGTGTTGGCTAAACATGTTGGAAATGGCATGAAGATCCCAAGTAAAATTAAGAGAAAAAAGACGCAGATACTAAGATTGTAAAGAAAATACAGCGTGATGCAAGAGTGCAAAGATGTGGGAAGAACAGAAGGATAATATAATAAGTGAAAATAATGACCCTTCATGGGACTGGGATGATAGAGGAAGAGATTGGAGTAATGAGTCAATGACCCTTTAATGCATGCGTTCATGGTTGCGGAGCCATTTTTGTTTAATTAAAATGGACCCAAAACATGGATCGTGGTTTATCAACACTAGCAGTTTCTGCTGGCCATTGTCTCTCTGCCTTCTCTCTGCATTCTGCACATGACCGCCAGACCGATCTAATAACCATTTCTGCAGATATATCATTTATGTTTTTATTATATATTATATGACTGAAAAATATTTGATTTCTATAAATATTTATGACTGAAAGAAATGCAGAGGCACTGTGCTTCTGCAGGGTACTGTAACGTTGTAAGCAACAACCACCACCTGCATACTTTTATTTTTTGAGATTTTTGAACATTAATTCTTGCAAAAGATTAAAATTTAAAAAAAAATCTGGTGTTAGATTAAATATTCAATTTAATCCCTTGAGTGTACTTTTATCAAAATTTACATTCAATTTTTGTTATTTAATGTGTATTTTTATTTAATCTCTCCATATTAAATTTTAATTTTATTAATATGCACATATTTAGTTTTTTTTTTAATTAGAAATGAATGTGATGAGAAAATATTAAAAAAAAATTGTGATACAAAAATATATAAATACATAAGTGTTCAGAAATGATTGTGCCAAAATATATAAAATTGACTTTTTTGTACTAAAATATTTGTACCTACATGATTGTACCGAAATATATTATAATAAACCTAAATGTATGTACCAAAATGTATTATATTGAATTAATGTACCTAAATGTCAATACCGAAATGTATATACCTAAATGTCAATACCGAAAATGTATGTACCTAAATATTAATACCAAAATCTATGTACCTAAATGTATTTACCGAAATATAATAATTGAATTAATGTACCTAAAAGTCGATACTCAAATGTGTGTACCAAAGTGTACATAACGAAATACATTATATTGACCGAAATGCATTATATTGAATCAATGTAACTACATGTTTGTACCGATGGATATACCAAAATATTCAAATGTATTAATGTACCTAAATAAAGAACATACAAAATTGTTATCGGAATATATATTATAAAAAAATTAGTTGCCTAAATGTAGACATTAAAATATATTATGATGAATGAAATAAAAATTAAATTTAAATGTAATTAATACATTAAAATAAAAATAAAGGATAAAAATAAAAACATCAAAAATACAACTAATAAATGATATGATTAAATGTGCTAGGGACTGAAATTGGATTTTAATCTTACATATGGTTATAATCTAAAACTCATCTTTTTTAAGGATTAAAATGAAGTTTTCTATTATTTTTTTCCTCCTGTTTTTTAGGATTTTAGTTTTATGTAAGGTCCGTAACTTCGTATTTTGTTTTTAATTTTTCCTTTTTATACTTGAGGTAAAAGGAAGTGTATAAAGAAAATGAAGGATGAAGAAGGTTGGGAAAGAGATTTGAAAGAAATAAGGAATAACGAATGTTGAGAATGAATCTCACGTTGATACGAGAGGACCTTGTATGATAAGTAAGTTGGTTACTCTTTAAATTGCCGACTATATAGTATAACCTCAACTTTTTTCATGATAAAGCCTCAACAAAATCTCAAAAGTAAGAACAGTTAGTACATATATAGCTTTTAGTTTTCGATTTTTTTTCTTCATTTTTTGTGCATTTTTGCTTATATTTATATCTCTCCTTGGACCTGATAGGACTTTAGTTTACATCTCTCCCATCAAACTTCATCTAGTCATTTTCAATTTTTCATATTCCTCATTTTGTCTATTGACTTTCTCTTTACACCTAACACAAAAAGGTAAAAACTAAAAACAAACAATAATATAGTTATCAAACCTGCCCTAAAATTTATGCAAATTGCTTATGCTATTCCTAGAAAATAAGAAAAACACGCATGCAACGAAAATATATTGCCTCTCTCCTTCTCACTCACTTGATAATCTCATTTAACGAAGACATATTATTTCTCTATTTTTGACTCGTCACTCGAGAAAAAGAGAAAATAGATATATTATCGTCATATGTAAGTATTTCTTCTTAAATAAGCCTTCATAGAGCGCACAACCAAAGAAATACTAAAATAATATTCATGCATTTTTCCAACTATGCAAGTGGATAAAATTATTGTTAGTAATTACTTAGTAATATAGTTTAATCAAATTAATCAATAAGGTTTAGCCTGACAAAATTAATAAGGTTTAGCAAATGTGAATAAAACCATATCTAATTATATATATCATCTTATTTAA